ATATCAGCTTGAGTGTAATATAGGCTAGTTAAAAATCGAAGTCATTGGTTGCATGTTAGCATATTTTTAGTTCAATTTGATTTGTTTTGCCTCAAGCTTCCCTGATCCAGGAATTTTTGTCATACACGTCTAAGATGCAGGTGACCACTGTTATGTCAATTTTTGTCACTGACAACTCATGCGATTTTTCTCCGGCTTAGGATTCATGCACTGTCCCGCGCTCTTTTCTCAGGGAAAAATATGAAAAAATACGAAATTAAGTTTTCTAACAAAAAAACGTATCAATTCGTATCGCGTGACTTGATTTACAACAGAATCTCAATCGACTTAAATCATGTGCGTGGGCTAACTACTGTGTGAGCAATATACCCTTCGTACCTATAGATTTCAGTTGTTRATAGGACATTTGCATGATGACATGACTTTACTATTATTACTATACAAAAGAAAATGGGTAAAAGCATTCTGGTAAATGCAGTATATGCCTATTTCAAAAAGGTTGTCGGATAAAAATAGCGAATGTCAATTGCGAAAGTAGTCATGGGTTTTTCTGAGAAATAGCAACTTAGTATACTGTAAGTCTTGGTAAACGTTGGCTCCATTTAGTCTCCATTTCTAAGGTGAACACAATTTATYAAATTGTGTAAACAGTGTAACCATAGTCCCTTTCGTTATTGCAATCTCTTTTCGACATTCGCTGTTCGGCTTTCTCCCCGACAACGCTTTTCAGTGAAATATCTGTGCGATGCCTTGCAAATCGTCTATTATGAACGTTATAGCCCTCTCATTTTGTTTTTTAGGCGCCCGCAACGTTGATGAACGTAATTGAGGAAAAGGTGTTAAAGATGCAGGATTCTCATTCATCACAGCGCATCAACATAGTATTTTTTCTCTTCTGGGAGTCAGTCTATCAGYTATTGTCAGTAGCCCTTTTGTTCTGGGTCGATGTCATCCCGSACTATGGCTTTACATCMAACGTTGAGCAGTTTGGTAAAAAGTAAGTMGTTKGGCCATTGCATTGACAATGTTTACTGACTCTCTCTATGCTATTRTCTGTGGCGATTGTTCATGAATATTCTAGATCTGTTTCTTTTCAGGTGTKTATAGTCGTATTCATCTCGCAGAAGTAAACAACATCGAAAGTCAAATAGCAGAAAATATAAATGATAGTTTWTTTGTCTYATTTTCATAGTTGGTGGTTTGGTTTACAGTGTTTTTTCGGTKCTGCGGGATGTGGTAGTGATCCTGGTGTTARAGGCACAATGTTTATTCTGATGTACYTATTGTCGTATCTCGGAGGAGGGCTAATGATGAGATATACAGAGGGAGCAACGCTGCTATCTATTGCTACTGTAAGTACATATTTTGTCACGCAACATGCGCACCTCTAAATTTTCAGCCTCACCTTCAGGCTCTATATATTTTGAAAATGATGAAGTATAGAGATTGAGCATGTATATAGTATTTCAATCATTCCACTTTACAGGAACTGATATATTGTTAGATATGCACATTTTGATCTAGAAAACCTTTCAATGCATAATTGTTCCGTGGGCCAACTATACAATCAACTTYAAATGTACATTTTTGAATACTAATTAGTGAGTCGGTGGTGGTCGCCATCTCTGCTTTTGAGATTCCCGCGAAAACATAAATGGCGCAGCGTGATTGGTAAGAAAAAATACCCTAAAAACCAAGAGTCACTTCGCTCGCGCTGTGTCCAATACCGCCTGAGTTTGTAAATAAGTGCCTTAAAGTCCGGTTCATACGTCGAGCCAGCGTCGCGCCGAACCAAATAGTCAGTTGGTGTCGACCCAAATACATTTGGTACGGCGTTGATTCATACGTCGAACCAAATGCAGTTAGAACCATATGGAAAAATTTGGATAAAACGCAATTTACATCCATTATTATAAAAAAGATATTTAAGTCTGGTATGATGATAGCTCGACACTTGAATCAGCGCCGAGCTTTTGTCGTGCAGTACGTCGACTAACTCTGCCGTGCCAATGCCGTGCTACAGTCGTGCCGAACTCAATTGATTCATTATACGTCGAGMTGTTCATGAGCTAAATTCAAACTAACTATTTGGTTCGGCGCGACGCTGGCTCGACGTATGAACCGGGCTTAGGGAGACTACGCTCAGGATTTGTTTTTGTCTCCTTCGAGATTCTTAATATATTCTTTTTTTCATGCAGTCTCTAGTTACGCCTTTGGGGTTTTTATTCTGGACACTTTTCAAGAGTGAACCTTTTGGTTTTAGCCCCGAAGTTCACGTGTCTACCTACTATAGTATTGGGGCTTTGGTTATCATGGTACCAGCGATCTATATCTACAATACAGGGTAAGTACTAACTTAAATTGACAACTGGTTTCGCTAAAGCCAGGAAAAACGCAGGCAGCAAAGGTTTTGGCCACTAAACACCATCGCAAACACTCTCTTAATATTCTATCTATATAACTTTGTCAGGGACAACAGAGATTGTCAAGAAGCGATTTCATGACCATGCRGATTATTGTTGCTCTCTTACAAAATTTTACTGAATGGGAAAAAATGGAGACTAAATGGAGCCAATRGTTACCATAGACTTACAGCATAAATCAGTTATTATTTCCYATCAATTAGCGAAACCCAATACTCCTTTGGGTATTGTAAAAGTCCTTCGCGATTACCTGTGCCATATTGAAGTAGCCGTGCATTTGCATCGAAGCGWTATGGCGCAGGAAACCGTGAAGGAGACTATTGCMCGTTTGACAATTGACATTCAACATTTTTTCCAACAACCTTTCTTGAAATAGGTATRTAGCGCTTAAGCAACAATTATTATATATTGAAACCATYTAGTACTACGTAATCATTATATTGACCAACTCGAATTCTCTGCGGCTATTTTGGTCAACATACACTTACACCGTTTTTTTTAAGATTAATTCAATGACTAATTGTAGATATTTCTCTTCTTAATGTAAAATCAAATCAGTGTGAACAAATTGATTTTGAATCAAATATTTGTCTTCAATTCTGATTCTAGCACGAATACAAGGCGCTGTACAGTACATATATATGTGAGAGAATGCATAAATACATTATTATTACTGTTGTTATTTTTACAGGCCACCTGAAATTGACATGTCGAAGAGTAGAAAAGAAGTATGTCTAATTGACGACAATCACTGTGATTACGGTACTAATGGCGAGAAAGATCCTCTAATCATTTATAACAAAAATTTGTAACATCGTCGCGCTCGTGAAACCTCGTATTTTAAAGTCATGATAATGGATTAGTATATCGATGAATGCTTATTTTTAACAGTACATTACAAGCGGAAGGAGGGCATGTACAGTAGACAAATCAGAGATCGGTTTTTAAAAAAATCTCTTTTCGCCGTTGGTTGTCTCAACAACAATTTCCAAAAATGAAATATCAAAATGCATTTGCCAACACTGCATTTGGATTTTTCATATGCTTGCAATAGCAAATGCTCCAAATTAATGAAATAATAGAAGTGCCCTTGTTCATTTAAATTTTGATATAAGGATTACGGGCCTCTCTCAGAGGCAGCAGCCACAAAAATTTTATCTTTCAACGGCAGCTGCARATAAACTTATCCAAAAATAGGACAAGCAGATCTTGGAAAGAAAACCTATTTGTTATTCACTCCCAGCAATAGCGAGCGCTTTAGTCTTTGCCCAATTTAAATATTCTTTTGTTCTACGGTCACTATACACGAGGGATGGTGAACCGGCGCCATTGTTGTTAGAAAAGCCCACGCTCTTACTATAAAATGCTAACCCAAAAAATTTTCTTACAAGTTTTCTTTGGCAGTTTCACTTCAAAYAGAATGAGTAGTGGCTTTTTTGTTGCTGTTCGTTTTTTTAAAGYAGGTCGAAATTTGAGTTTTTCTTTTCATGATATTGTAGTTTATTCAAAACATTTGTCATGATATCTTTTGGCAAATGATGAGATSACACAACCAGAAATTATGGACTTTTTTAACCTAATTCTGAAGGATTTTATTCACAAAAATCTGCAATTACGATAATGGYAGAATGGCATGGGCCGGTCTTATTGAATATATCATGAATATATACTGTAGAAAATCACATCCATATACACTGGAAAAAATCGCGCGATTTAAAGGTTGTAAATTTGATGTATATATGATGTTAGTGTCCAAAATGATGTAAATTTGATGTAAATCATTTCCATCAAATTTACATCATTTTGGACACTTACATCATATTTCCATCAAATTTACAACCTTTATGGCGCGCGATTTTTTCCAGTGATATCGTCTATAATAATGTTATATCTGATGCATATTCATMAATAAAAAACTAGTGAGTTCCAAAACAAAAACGCTTATCCTTGACCAACAAAGTTAACGCAATTTAGTATTTTACTTACATGCATGTACGCTTTCCAGGCGTTCTCCCATCAAAGTTATTGATTTCGTGTGAAGGTTCTCCTCCTTGGCATATTATACAACCCGTCTTTCRTATTTCCTTATGGTGTTAAGCAAATGATCATATTTTAGACCAACGATCKTATGTATCGAGAAAAAAAATCAAACTGATGTCTATAATGAACTAAATGATGAACTAAGAACAGCTATCCTTTAGTAAGTTTTCGTATTCAATCGAAGAGGGTCCCGGAATATAATATCGCTACTTCAATGATCAAAGGAAATAGTTGGGATTTAGGTTTTTCTGCGACTTGGGGGCGGAGCTTGATACTAATCAGCCAATGATTGAACGAGTTTTCGAAAAGCTCCGTCACTCAGATTGAAAGAAAGAACAAAATCCAGACAAACTTCAAAACAAAGAGGTCGYGATGCAGCCATTTCCGCTGTAAATGAGAGCTTTTCCAAGAAATGTCTTTTACTGATTCAGGTCCACGTACAGGCAAATCGGCTTTTTAGACATGGAGTTGTGAATAGATCATTGGRTTAATAAGAAGTTGAAAATGAGCGCACCAACAGTCAGCACATCACATACGTGTAATATATAATGCGTGTTCGAGGATGCTTTTTTTAATCGGCTTGCTGAATAAGAAAATCAATTGCAACTAGCCTGTTTATGATGCCTTGGCGAATGTAGGACAGACGYAGTGAAGTGATGATCGGGTTGATGAGAGACTGGAGATGTACAAATGCTGCACAAATAGGCATGGCWATGTAGTGAAAATCGCTTGTCACATCTTTACCATTCAAGGATCGTATCACGGYTACTATAATGATAGGAAAGTAAAAGAGAATCGAAAAARCCACMAACATGGTCATCGTGAACACTCGCTTGTATTCCTTGAGTTGTTGTTCTTGTTGTTGCTGTTCGTTTGACTGTTGAACTGATTCTTGCTGCAGGGCGATGGTTCTACTCTGACGGTAAGCTGTTAACTGCACTTTTGATGTGCAGTACAAAATGACCAAACCAAAAATACTAAATGCTGAAGCTGCTGGGACTGTAGTTAATCTAGGATAGTTTAAAAAAKCTGTTGCAATCAACACACATCCAATCCTTGATATCCGGAAGGGAAGATTACCGTTATCATCATAACCTTTTTTACTGTTATGTTGTTGCGATAAAAGTTTGGGTGCTCTATTGCAAAATATCGTTCAACACTCGCCATCGTGAAGCTGACTATAGTTAGACTAAAACAAAGTAACGAGAGTAGAATGTTAGCCGCTTCGAACATACAGTCAATACGCAAACCACAATCMTTCATAGCGCATCCAAGGAGAAGGCAATACAATGGATCGACCAGCAAGCCTACAAGGAAATCACTCACTGCTAAAAAGGCAAGAAAAATGTTATAGGAAGAAGATCGAAGATTTTAAACAGCTACCACGCGCTGACCATATGACGAGGGCGTTAACGACAATTGTCGGTGGGGCAGCAAGGCCATTGACAGTAGCAGGGAAAGTCCAAGTCCAGTGAACCGACTCTGAGCGGTTCATGTCATGAGGATCAAACTGTGACGGCATCACCAAAAGACAGACATGATTTGTAGTAGGAACCAGGGCAGTAGAAGAGTTATTTTCCATTGCAAGGAAGAGATGTGAGCATTTGCTTTAACTCGATCGAGAAAATGAGCTCTACGTAGTTTAATTACTAGAACCGAATATGATTGTTGTGAATTAATAGGGTTTTAAGAAAACTTTGATGACGCAGCTTTGYGTACTTTTGTTCACGATGCTTATGAAATAATAACCAATTATAGGTCAATTTCTTCATTAATCCTAGTCCAATTCCGTCACGAGCAAGAAAAAACAACAACACGTATCTTATCCAAAATTGCCATATTAATCTATAAATTGATACGAACTTCAAATTGACAATCAGTATTGGAATTAACTGCTCAGTATTCAGGAGATTTGCGGTGAAAAAAATACTAAGAACGTTTACAGGAAGCCAGTACGCCACGTCCTGTAGTTTTCTAGTTCTATTGTCTCAGCCCGCCTTACAATCACAATACACAGAGAAAGGAGCTAGTTACTTTAAATGTTGAAGATGAAAATCCTAGACACCTGTCGAAGACATTTTATCAAGCGTTATTTTCCAATCAGATCTACGCTGTCTGATTTTGAAGGTGTTTTAAACTTCTCATATTGAAAATATTGCATTTGAATTATCATTAGGGCTCCTTTGTATATATGCAAGTCAGAGTTACTTCTTTGCTTATGGACTCTTTGATTTTGTCGAGAGCTTCTTGGTAGCACTTCAGCAGAATGGTGTTTTGTCAGTGACTAAATCTCGCAGTGGTGCTGTTAAGGCTTAAATTTGGAATGAAAGGACCCATGTAATAATAAT